AATCACTAGTAAAATGGCTTGATTTAAATCAACTCGATTTAAATCATAATTTTTAAAGAGCAACTGTCATCTCTGCTTCTCCTTTGACCCACTGTTGACTCACCGATAGTCCCAGTGTTGCAGAATATACAGCCTCATGCTACATAACTAAGCTCCATTTCATGCTGAATAAACTAAATTATTTATGTATCTTAAATCGAAAACTATCTTACGATAGATTTTACCCCAAAAGTTTTTTATTAAAATAAATTCGATAAAAATAAAAAAATCCGATTTAAATAAAAAAAATCTGATTTTTTTGATTTTTTTAAAAAAATCATTGATTTTTATCCACCCTGATTTATATTGAATTACCATTTGATAGCTTATTAGTAACCTTGACTATCACTAAGTCTTCCATCTTTTTATTCTTGAAGAATGTATTTTATTCTCCTTATGTACACTGAGAGCATACACACCTAAAACAAATTCCTTGTGTGTCCAATCACACTTGGCCAATAAAGAATTCTATTCTATTCTATTCTATTCTATTCTATTCTATTCTATTCTATTCTATTCCATTCCATTCCACTCCACTCCACTCCACTCCACTCCACAAAGATCTGGGGGTTTTTTTTGTGTGTGCAAAGCTGTAATGCAATCTTTCTAAAGTTTTTCTCCTTTTCCTTCTCTCTCTCTCTCTCTCTCTGCCAGCCTCCCTCTCCCTCTTCCTCTCTTCGGGTTAATTTGCACACGGAGGCAAAAAAAAAAAAAAAAAAGTTGTTTGTCTTTGAAAAGAAAATCTCAGGTTTGTCTTAGGTAGGAGATTGGCAGGTTATCCCTGCAGAGTGTGTGTTTTTGCTCAGGTAGCTCAGGAATTTAGACAACCGCACTCAGTTCCGACACCAGAGTGGGTGCTCCGAATTGACATTAATAAACAAAAGACAAACCAGCAGTTGCCTTAAAAGTATGTCAGATACGTTCACCTTAATGGAGGCGAAATCCCTTCCATTTAAACATGCATGAAAACGAAACTGCAGGGGAGAAGCAGGCAGGGACTCAGTTTTAGGCCACGCTAAATAAGTGCTGGCTTTTAAAAATACATTTGAAACAGCTTCGCCGGTCAAATGCATTCAGGCATGTTTCTAGCCCACATTAATAATTAGCGACCTGAAACGGCAATAAAGCTTTCCATTTCCTTGGACACGTCAATAGTTCATTTGCTTCTTGCTAGCGGCTAGAATGGACCAGTTTTGGGTGGCTTTTTCAGGGAAGGTGGTAAGATGTTAACAAGTTTTCCAGTTTACATAAAACGGGGGGGGGGGGGGGGAGGGATGGGATGGGACCCAATTTATATCTCCTTTTGGATGCAGAGATTGAGAGCATGGCCTGAATCAGGGGACTCTGTGTTCAGATCTAATGTCTACCTTTTTTCCATTCAGCCTTCTGAATTCCTTTGGTGTCTCCTATCAAAGAACAGGTAGTCCTCGGCTTACAACAGTTCGTTTAGTGACCATTCAAAGTTACAGCGGCACGGAAAAAAGTGACTTATGGCTGTTTTCCACACTTAACGACTGTTGCAGCATCCCCATGGTCGAGAGATCAAAATCCAGCCGCTTGGCAACTGGCTCATATTTATGACTGGCTCGTAGTTATGACGGTTGCAGTGTCCCCGGGGGTCACGTGATCCTCTTTTGCGACCTTCCGACAAGCAAAGTCTACGGGGAAGCCAGATTCACTTAACAACCGTGTCACTAACTTAAACCACTGCGGTGATTCGCTTAACGACTGTGGCAAGGAAAGTCGTAAAATGGGGCAAAGCTCACTTAAGAAATGTTTCACTTAGCCACAGAAATTTGGGCCTCAATTGTAGTCGTACGTTGGGCTCGATTGTGATTGAAAGCCGTGGATTACCTGCATTAATCATTTGGGGTGGAATGGTGTTGGCTTAAGAGCCATTCTCTAGGTCTGTGTCAATAATGGCGAAGGGCAAACAAACCTTTGTAGATCTATAAATATCTATGTTAAATTCAGTAGAAATTTCTTGCTGCTTCTTTTTTTAAGGCCACACTCATATTTCCAAAGATCCAGTTTGGTGTACGTGCACGAGCGCCGACACCCATAATGCAATGCCCCCCCCCCCCACATGCATGCATGACCCTCATTTTGGTGCTAGCAGGCTTCCCTGAAGCCTCCTGGGACCAAAAATGGGGCATGGGGGGAATGCTGCACCCCATCCCCCACATGCGTGCACGACCCACCCCCCCCACATGCACGCGTGACCCCCCCATATGCACATGTGCCCCCCACCCCCTGCACATGTGCCCCCCACCCCCTGCGCATGTGCCCGTCTCCTGATAGAGACCCGAAAATCAGGGTGGATTTGATTTAAATCGAGTTGATTTAAATCACAATTTAAATCACGATTTAAATCATGATTTAAATCACTAGTAAAAAGGCTTGATTTAAATCAACTCAATTTAAATCATAATTTTTAAAGAGCAACTGTCATCTCTGCTACTCCTTTGACCCACTGTTGACTCACCGATAGTCCCAGTGTTGCAGAATATACAGCCTCCTGCTACATAACTCAGCTCCATTTCATGCTGAATAAACTAAATTTTTTATGTATCTTAAATAGAAAACTATCTTATGATAGATTTTTACCCCAAAAGATTTTTATTAAAATAAATTCGATAAAAATCAAAAAAATCCGATTTAAATAAAAAAATCTGATTTTTTTGATTTTTTAAAAAAAATCATTGATTTTTATCCACCCTGCTGAAAATCAGCTGGCTGGCGGGAGGTTCACAGGCATGCGCGGTGGAGCTGATCTAGGCATCGGCTCGTATGCCCACAGAGATGGCTCCACGTGCCACTTGTGGCATCCGTGCCATAGGTTCGCCATGACGGGTGTAGTAGTTAAGGCATCAGGCTAGAAACTGGGAGAGTGAGAGTTCTAGTTCTGCCTTAAACATGAAGCCAGAAGGATGACCTTGGGCCGGTCCCTTTCTCTCAGCTCTAAGAAGGAGACAATAACCGACCACCTTTGAAATCTTGCCAAGAAAACAGCAGGAACCTGTGTAGGCAGTCTGACTCAAAAGGGCACACATGCATACACACACACACACACACACAAGTCCATGGCCTGGCTTTTACCACGACTGAGCTTGTGATCCTAAGTAAATGCGTCTACTTGTAGGCAAGCGTCACGGGTGACACTGAGACTGATCTTTGAGTAAACATGCAAACAAACGGTTGTATTGCAAGTTAAATATATGAGATGTTGTTGAACAAGAGCTCGTCTGTATCTGTTACCCTGAGACAGGAGTTTTCAAACTTGGCAATTTTAAGACTTGTGGACTTCAACTCCTAGAATTCCTCGGCTGGCCATGCTGGGAGTTGAAGTCCGCAAGTCTTAAAAGTTGCCAACTTTGGACTCCCTTGTTCTATGAGCTTATACAGTAATCCTTGAATTATGACCAGTTGGTCGAAGTTACAAGTTAAAAGCTACTTAGCATCCAGATTCAAAGCTATTCCTATCTGTCTCTCTCTCTCACACACATATCACCTAATCATAATTTGGGAGGTCAGCAACTGGTCTGCATTTACAGCCATTTGCAAGGCCTTTACTACGTTTTTGCAAGAAACCAGCATCACTTTCAGGTTTCCAACAAAAATTGGTAGAGTTCACTTTACAACTGCTAGCGTGTTCGCTAACACCAACAGCAAAAAAATGTCTTAAATTCAGTTGCGGTCATTTGGTAACCCACTTTATGACTGTCGTCCTAGTTCTATACATTAGGAAGTAAATGGGGGGCTCAGTTACCATCGTAAGTCGAGGACATTTGTATTAAGCCTGAATAAAAATGGTTCGGATTTCTTTCTGGCTCTATATTAATCCCAGTTATTTCTGATGGCAGCTTCAAACATTTCTTGATCCGGGGAAGTTTTTATAAAGTTCTTGGCTGAGGTATCGCCATGCATATACATGTTTAGCATTTGGGAGGGGACATATTTTTCTTCTGTGTTACCTGTGCATTTGTGTGAAAATAACTTCCTCTGTATCGCATTATCAGGGGTGACCTAGGGCGGGACTAGAAATCACCATCTCCTGGTGATTGGCCCAGATTCACCCAACTGGCTTTCACGCCTAAGGCGGGACTAGAAATCACCATCTCCTGGTGATTGGCCCAGAGTCACCCAACTGGCTTTCACACCTAAGGCAGGACTAGAAATCACCATCTCCTGGTGGTTGGCCCAGATTCACCCAACTGGCTTTCACGCCTAAGGCGGGACTAGAAATCACCATCTCCTGGTGATTGGCCCAGAGTCACCCAACTGGCTAAGGTGGGACTTGAACTCACAATCTGCTGCTTTCTAGCCTAGTGCCTTAACCACTAGACCAAACTGGCTCTTCAGGCTGGCAACTTGAAATGACATTCCAGTAATAGCAAATCACTGTTGCCAAGAAAAATACATGGATGGATCCATTACACCAGTAGGAGCCAAGCCATATTTGGTTTGGAGATTTCGGTTTAGCTTGGTTGATCCGTTTTTTTACACAAAACCTACCTATGCTTTTGGCTATGTCCCTGATTGTTGATTTCTATACAGGTAACCCTTGATTTACAACCACATTTGAGCCCAAAATTTTCGTTGCTAAGCAAGACAGTTGTTAAGTGAGTTTGGCCTCATTTTATGATCTTTCTTGCCACGGGTTGTTAAAGTGAATCACTTTAAGTTAGTAACACGGCAGTTAAGTGAATCTGTCTTCCCCGTTGACTTTGCTTGTCCACTGCAACTGTCCTAAATAGATGCCAAAGCCAAGCGTCTCAATTTTGATTTGTATGGCCTTCAATTCCCAGAATTGCTGGCTGGAGAATTCTGGGAGTTGAAATCCACCCTTCTTAAAGTACCCAAGTTTGGGAAACCCAGAGAAGTTTAGGATGCAGGACATAAGGAAGACAGCATCGCATGCACTTTTCTGAAGTTGATGTGTCCTTTTTTCCCTCCTCCAGTTCTTCCTGTGCTCCGTCTACGTCCCCATGTGCACCGAGCAAATCAACATCCCAATCGGCCCTTGTAGCGGTATGTGCCTCTCCGTCAAAAGGCGATGCGAGCCGGTCCTGAAAGAATTTGGGTTCTCCTGGCCAGAAAACCTGAATTGCAGCAAGTTCCCCCCACATAACGACCACAATCACATGTGCATGGAGGGGCCAGGAGACGAAGACGTCCCACTCCACAGCAAGGCCCCCTTGCACCCTGGAGAGGAATGCCAGAGCGTTGGATCGAATGCAGATCAATACATCTGGGTCCGGAGAAGCTTGACCTGTGTCCTCAAATGCGGCTACGACGCTGGCCTCTACAGCCGGTCCGCCAAGGCGTTCACTGACATCTGGATGGCCGTGTGGGCGAGCCTGTGTTTCATTTCCACCGCCTTCACGGTCTTGACCTTTCTGATTGATTCCACTCGGTTTTCCTATCCGGAGCGGCCCATCATATTCCTGAGCATGTGCTACAATATTTATAGCATCGCTTATATTGTCCGGCTGACCGTAGGCCGAGAAAGGATTTCCTGTGACTTCGACGAGGCCATAGAACCTGTTCTCATCCAGGAGGGCTTGAAGAACACCGGATGTGCCATCATTTTTTTGCTGATGTACTTTTTCGGCATGGCGAGCTCCATCTGGTGGGTGATTCTCACCCTGACGTGGTTCCTGGCCGCCGGGCTCAAGTGGGGCCACGAGGCCATCGAGATGCACAGCTCGTATTTCCACATTGCTGCCTGGGCTATCCCTGCGGTGAAGACCATCGTCATCCTGATCATGAGGTTGGTCGACGCCGACGAGCTGACGGGGCTGTGCTATGTGGGCAACCAGAACCTTGATGCCTTGACGGGATTTGTGGTGGCTCCCCTGTTCACTTACTTGGTCATCGGCACCCTCTTCATTGCGGCTGGGTTGGTGGCTTTGTTTAAGATCAGGTCCAACCTCCAGAAGGACGGGACCAAAACGGACAAGCTGGAGAGGTTGATGGTGAAGATTGGGGTTTTTTCCGTGCTTTACACGGTGCCGGCGACTTGCGTCATCGCCTGTTATTTCTACGAGATCTCCAACTGGGGGATCTTTCGCTACTCCGCTGATGCCTCCAACATGGCCGTGGAGATGCTCAAGATTTTCATGTCCCTCCTGGTGGGCATCACATCCGGCATGTGGATTTGGTCAGCCAAGACGCTGCACACTTGGCAAAAGTGCTCCAATAGACTGGTGAATTCGGGGAGGGTAAAACGGGGAGCGAAGAGGGCGGACGGGTGGATGAAACCCGGGAAAGGAAACGAGACAGTGGTATAAAGAAAGGACAGGGACCAGCACATTCTCTTACCTTCGAGAGCAGCATCTGGGAGAAGGAAATGAATCCTTTTATTGAGAAATATTTGAGTTTTTGCAGAATTTTGAAGGAGAGGAGAGGAAAGCAGCAAAGGGAGCTGGACCAGGCTGGGGAAGAGGGGAAAAAAAGCACAGTTTTTTTACAGTGGCTTCACAAAGTTGTGAAGAGTAGAACCTCTTGGATGTCTATCAACAAGCGGCCATTTTAGGATTCATGGGCTTTTGTGCCTCCTGAAAAACGCACCACGTGCCTTCTCTCACTCCCTTTCTTCTTCCCCTTATCCCGTCCTGATTCACATTTATCACTGTCTTGTATAAAGTAGTACAAGAGAACAAAATGGAGAGAGGAAGGAATTCCTTGCAAGGTTTGAGGAGAATTGCTGGTGTCCGGGAATCCTGAATCCAAGAATCTCTCAACTTGTGTATAAGTGATGTCCAGAGCAGAGGTCTTCAAACTTGGCAGCTTTAAGACTTGTGGACTTCAACTCCCAGAATTCTCCAGCCAGCATGAGTTGAAGTCCACAAGTCTTAAAGCTGCCAAGTTTGAAGACTTCTGGTCCAGAGCTTGGAGAGCTGCAGAAAGTTGCAGTTTAGGATGCAAACTTTGAAATTCTGCAGAATTCCTTCAAACACAGACCCAGAGAAAGGTCCAAGATTCAAGCGAAGAAGTCAAATTTGCCTTTAGCGTCATCAACTAAAAAAAAAAAACGGTTAATGTTTCAGGCTGTGTTTGGGGTGAGGAAACAAACATGGAATGGAAACAGGATGTGTTTCTAATCAGGATGACCCCCAAATGACATCAAGATGTCGCAATGCAAGAGATAAGGTCATCAAATCCACGGAAACCCTTGCCTTGATAGATTTATTTCGGTGGGGGGGAAAAAAACCCCCAAGAACCTTTAAAAACACAATAGTTCCAAAGAAACTTTTAAGCACAATAGCTGCAGGATTCTTTTCGGATTCAGTAGCAGCAGTTACTAAAACAAGATTAACCTTCAAACATCACAAGAGGATAGCAGTGATATCACGAGCCTCTGCAGGGACAACAGCTGGTTTCAAGTTCTTGCGGAAATTTTGAGAGGTAATGAAGTTCTTTCCTTTAAAAAAAAAACCCCCCCAAAAAAGCAACCTGAAGCATAATGCATCTATTTTCCTTCTTAATTTAACTTTCAAGTCACACAGCCACTAAAAAAGTTGCTGGCGGAAGTTTGGCTCAGGAATTAAACTTTTAGCCTCAACTATCGAGGCGGGAGTTTAACATTTTCCAAGATATGGAACAATTCTTCCTCTCTCTCTCTCTCTCTCTTTTTTTTTTTTTGTACTAAATCCCTGCTTTAACAAATGTCTGGTAGCTTTTTCCAAATTGGAGGCCTGAAGGCATCCGATATGTGGTGCTTCCTTTGTAGAGCTTACAGCTTAGAAAATGTTTAGCTGGTTTTTATTCTCAAAAAGGTTAAGGGTAGAGGCGGGAACTTCTCTATACTCATTGCCATGCTTTTAAATAGCTTCTTCAAAATTAAGCTTTGGGGGGGGGCTGTTTTCGTGTTTGTCAACCTTGGTCCCTTTAAGGTGTGTGGACTTCAATTCCCAGAATATCTCAGAGCCAGCATGCTGGTTAGGGAATTCTGGGAGTTGAAGTCCACAAATCTTAAGGCACCAAAGTTGAGAAATACCGACGAGCCAATGGTGTTTAAGGTTGTGAAGAGATGTTTTTCACCATGCTCCTATTCCTAGTCCTTATTTTCATGTTTTTAAGCTGAAAATCAGGGGTGAAATCCAGCAGGTTCTGACAGGTTCTGGAGAACCGGTAGCGGAAATTTTGAGTAGTTCGGAGAACCGGCAAATACCGCCTCTGGCTGGCCCAAGAGTGGGGTGGGAATGGAGATTTTGCAATGTCCTTCCCCCAGGAGTGGGGAGGGAATGATGATCATAAATCGAGGACTATCTGTGCAGGAGTGGGTTCTACTTACCTTTACTACCGGTTCGCAACAGGATCGCTTCTCTGCATGTGCAGATCACTGATGATGACATCCGGGGTGATGGGCGGGGCCTCCCGCTGGTTTACTACCAGTTCTCACGAACCGGTCCGAACCGGGGGCAACCCACCACTGTATCTGTGCCAGATTCCTGATTTTTCACACGTGCGTGTGGAGAGCTTGGAAGTAGCTTGCTATTGCCACCTAATGGGTTTTTTTTAAAAATGACTTCCCAGGATAAGTGATAGCCCTGGGATCCAACCATCTCTGAATCTTCCTCTCTTTGCAAAGTCACCTAGCTTGGATTTCAGGCACGGCTGGCTTATTTTTCGAGATGCTTTCTCCCGTCTCCAGATCTGAAAATCTTATCTAAAGAAGGCCTGTATGCAGCAGGGAGCCAATGAGCAAAAATGGAAAGCCACTTCTGACTATTGTCTCTCTTCAAAGCTGGTTTTGTTCTGCATTTCTGTCTCTCTTTTCTCTCTCTCTTTTCTCTCTCTTCCACCCCCCCCCCCCCCCTCAACCCGGTAAACTAATCTGGCCCACCGCTGGAGACCCATTGCATTAAAGCAATTAAGGCTTAATATGTTTCACCCTGCGCGATTGTATCTTGTGTTGACGCCAGTCTGGGCAAACTGAAATGTTGCGTCCCTTGGCAGCTTTGCATTCACACGGATCGGTTGCATAATTTGTGTGTCGGTTACAATTAAGGGGACATTCCCCAGGCCCAGGGAAGGGGGAAAGCGCAGCTGACTACCCCTCCGAACTCCAAAAAAAAAAAAAAAATGGGAAAAGTTCACTTCAAGAATGTGTTTGCGTTTTTTTTTTTTTTTTTTACCTTTTGGTCAAGGAATATCAGGGTAGCTTTATTTAAATAAAATAAAATAAAATTCCCCCCTTTATCCTCAAAAGGAAAAGAAAAAAAAAAGCTGCAGAGAGAATAAAATGCAGAAGATTGACGAAGTTTTAAGAATCTGGTGGTTTTGTTATTTACTCTGCCCTGAAGGGGTTTTTGGTGGCTGTGACCCCTTGGGTGGCTTTCACGCTTGAGGAATTTAACTGGTTGGGAAGCTGGTTTAATCCTTAATATTTTTTTTTTCTTTTCTGTCTGAAGCAGGGGTGAAATCTACTTACCTTTCCAACCGGTTTGGAATTGCATGCGTCGCACGCATGCTTGGACCCTCTGCGCATGTGCAAACCCTTCTGTGCATGTGCAGAGGGTAAAAAAACAGGTTACTTCCTGGTTAAAACAGGAAGTAACTACAACCAGATGGGCGGGCGGAGCCTCGCATCGCCATCATTACCGGTTCTCCGAACCACCAGCTGCCATCGCTACGGACCGGGAGCATTTCACCCCTAATCTGAACAGTATTTCCTACTTTCACACCAGTGGTGGGTTGCTCCCAGTTCGTACCGGTTCGCAAGAACCGGTAGTAAAAATTTGTAGCAGTTCAGAGAACCGGTAATAACATTGGCTGGCCACGCCCCCGAACCGGTCCCCGGCTCGGTCGCCACTTGCTTACCCCGCCCACCTCATCAGAGGCTTTTTTTTTTTTTTACTTTTAAAAGCATTTTTTCTATAACCCTTAAAAAATTGCCTTAAAAAAAAAAAAAAAAGGCACTAATGATCGCGCAACTCAGCTGGGATCGTCAGAGGCTTTTAAAAGCATTTTTTCTACAATCTCTTCAGCCGAAGAGGTTGTAGAAAAAAAAATGCCTTTAAAAGCCACTGACGATCCCAGCTGAGTTGCCTGATCGTCAGAGGCTTTTAAAAGCATTTTTTTCCTGCAATCTCTTAAGGTTATAGAAAAAATGCTTTTAAAAGTAAAAAAAAAAAAAGTTGGCCATGCCCACCCAGTCATATTACCTCCCACCAAGTCACGCCCACAAAATAAACCATGCCCACAGAACCGGTAGTAAAAAAATTTAGAATCCACCCCTGTTTCACACACAACATTAGTTCTTATCACTCTTGAGTTCCTGGTTTAAAAAAGCAGTACTTTCATGAGTTTTGCAAGGCAGGTCAGTGAATATCTTTGTACTCAAGAGGTTACCGTGTGATAAATGGGCGGCCAATAAATTTTATAAAACAAACAAACAAATAAATAAAACCTTTAATGGTGAGGATTGTCTATTGTCAGCTTGGGGGTGTTCATCTCCAAATAGTCCTCAACTTAAACACAATTGGGACTGGAACTTCCAATGAGGCAGTTGTTCAGCGGACTGCGCCCGATTTTATGAACGTGTTCGCCAAGCGAATCATCCTGATTGTTAAGTGAATCCGCCTTCCACCATTGACTTCCCTTGCGGGAAGGTCACAAACGGCAATCACGCGACAACCCCCCCCCCTTCCATCCCCTGGGATGCTGCAACTATTATAAATACAAATTTTGATCACGTGTCTTTGGGGATGCTGCGATGGTTGTAAAAGTGAGGACCGGTCCGAAATAAAAAAATTTTTTTTTGCAGCGCCGTCGTAACTTTGAACAGTTGCTAAATGAATGGTTATAAATCAAGGACTACCTTTTTGGTAGAATTGGAATTTTATTTTTTTTTTACTTGCAGAGTTGCAGGCAGCTCTGCCATGTACGGTTCTCGCTGAAACACATGGCAGCTTTTAGTGTTCCCATTTGGGATTAAGGGGAGAAGCGATGCGTAAATACCTATTTCGTTTTCTGCTTCTCGCAGCTCACAAAACGACCGGTCACAAAACCTGACCTTCTACTTCATTTCTTGACTGGAGGTTCTTGTATTTTCCTTTGATTCAAGGGCAGACCTCGACTCACGACTGGTCGAAGTTAGGATGGATCCCAAAAATGGGACTTACGACCTGAAATCCAAAGTTACGATGTCCGTCCCGCGTCCCCCTCCCCCAGTCACGTGATCGCATTTTGGTTGCTTGGCAACCAGCCTGCATTTATGGCCGTTTGCAGCACCTGGCTACAGTCATGTGACCACGATTTTCGATGTTTTTGTTGGACATCGGTGTTGACTTCTGGTTCCCAGCCAAAAAAAAACCAAACACCATCTCATGGTGAACAATGGGTTTGCTTAAACACCACCGCCAAAAAAGCTTGTAAAATCAAGTGCGGTCACATTATGTAAGTTATGACCATCATAACTTGCAACCGAATTTATGAGTTAAATTTATGAGTTCAATTACGGTCATAAAATGAGAACTACCTGCCTGAGCCTTTCTACTCCTGCTTTTTTTTCTTTCGAAAGAAAGAAATTTGCATTATTTTTGGCTTCTAACATTTTGCAGATGTTTCTTTCCCTTTTATTATCCAATTGGAAATCCTAGCTTGCTGGCTGGGGAATTCTGGGAGTTGAAGTCCAGGCATCTTAAAAGTTGTAGAGGTTGAAAAACACTGATCTTGAAAAATTATTTTTTTAAAAAACACCTGATCACCAAACTACCTTTTTAGATGGCCGGTGTTTTATATAATCATTTCTAAATAGGAATTTCTTTCCCTTTATTGTTCAGTCGGTAATCCTAACGTGTTGACTGGGAAATTCTGGGAGTTGAAGTCTGAGCATCTTAAAAATTGCAGAGCTTGAAAAATCCTGATCTTGAAGAACAATTTTTTTTTTTAAAAAAAGAAAACCTGATCATTAAATTCCCTTTTTAGGTGGCCCGTGTTTTGTACTCATTTCTAAGTAAGGGGAAAAAGTTATTTGTAATAGAGCAAACCCGTTCCCCATTGTAAATTTGCTGCCAAGCTCAAAAGTGTGATTTATTTATTTTTTTTGTCATTGGCTTCATTTTGCATTTGCAAATTACAAAATTATGGAGGCAGAGGCGGCAAAGATATGAAGTGGATGATGTCTTTTCGAAACGTATTGCCATCCCGCATCTTAGCATGAGAGGTTTGCACCCTAGGATGAGATGATCACATTGGTGGACTTTTGTTCTACAGGTACCTCCCAACATTTACCCTGTTTCCCCGAAAATAAGACCCAACCGGAAAATAAGCCCTAGCATGATTTTTCAGGATGCTCGTAATATGAGCCCTACCCCCAAAATAAGCCCCAGTTAAGACTGTCAGCCAGATGGATGCATTTAGTACTGTATCTCCCCCAAAATAAGACCTAACCAGAAAAT